TGTTATTTTACTTTCTCTCTTTTTTTTTTTTTTTTTTTTACATATTTAGGCTATAAAAGATCATCTTACATTGGAAGGATTTTAATTTTTTTTCTTCCTTAACTTAAATGTCTGAAAAATATCAAATCTCATTTTTCCTACTGATTCTGGAGAAGCATTTGTATTGTACACTCCCACACTTTAAAATTATTAGAGAAAGATTGTGTTGAATTTGAAAAAGATACCTTAGTCAAAAACTTTAAACATTTGGGTTTAGGGAAGCATTAAGATAGGAAATGAATATTAAACATAGAGAAGCACAAAATAAGTATTTCATATTTTATGATATCTTACATGAAAAAATAAACTGTATGTTCATAAAAAGTTTCAACACGTAAAGATTTCCCAGCCCCGGTTCATGTCGTGTCAATTATAAAGAGGCAATAATTCCCATCCATTTCCATATTCATTTTTTTTATTTGCAGAAGTTAATAGCTGAATGATTGTTATTAGTAAGTCACTTGTGCCATGCCCAGTAGGGTGTTGAGTACCATCTAAATAACTGAAACAGGCCTGGTACCTGCTTCAACTAACATGCAGCCCCAAGGTCAGATTATGCATGAGGATCCAGCCACAGAAACTCCTGCAGCCATGAGTTCAACTGTAGTCAACATAAAGTTGCGGAGATTTATGCCAGTACATCCCACTATAAGATCAGGATCTCAAGTGAAGACATCCGACAACAGAGATGGAGGAACTAGGGGGACACAAGGGTAAAGGATAAAAAAGTTTACCCAAGTGCTTACATGTTAAGTACAATGCACAGGGTAAGTGTAAAAATCAACTAAGGATTCCTGGGCAGCTTACCTTATCCTAAGAATTGTTTGCTTGTAATCTCAATATTGTATCAACATATGATTTTGCATTTAATATTTCAAAACATATATGCTCCTTACTGTGAGAAGAGATATGTGAAATATTGCTTATAGAAGATAAAATCCTGCCTGTGTTGAAATCAGTGGGAATTTTTCTACTGACTTCAGTCAGACCACAGTTACACCCATACTCCTGCAGCCTTCATTCACATGAGCAGTCCCAGGGAACGTTTATGTGAGCTGGGGGTTATATGATCTGTCTCTCAACAAAAAAAAGGGGAAGTTTACAGCCATACTAAAGGCTGCTGTCAGAATTGCCTTATTCATTGTCAGGCTGTTCCACTCAACTGTAGGGATCCAGTGACAGTATGGTCTTGTAGTCTCCACTGGCCAATGGATCCATAGATCAGGCCCTAATTCTCAGAAAGGAGTTGACTAGGAATTGGCCACCTAAACAAACATGATACAATCATGTAGATTTTCTGTGCAAGCACAGCATTTGAATGAAAATAAATTGAGTGAAACTGGAAACAGAGGACCGATAGGATTCAGGAGACACTAAGATTAGTGGTACTGTATTTACAGTTTTATCTCTGTCTGCTTTATTTCCTTACTATTTTATTTCCTTACTACCAAAAAAGCAAGGCCCATGTTTCGTGCTAAATTATACCCTATCACTACTGAAACTAACACAGGTATAAGTCATTGTAGAATTTGGTCTTGTGACTTTTGTAGCAGCAACTCGATTCAAGCTGTTATGTTAGGACATAGGTTTTTTTAACTGTGTTTTAGTTTCAAATTGCATAGACTTCAGTTGCGTATCCAAGATAACTGGCGCAGGAAGGAGTCACTGTCAGGGCTGGCTCCAAATCCCCTGCCTATTAAAGAGTGACATATGTATTGTAGTTACTTATACTGTATATGCTGAGTTAGCAGGGTAGTACAAGAAACCCACTCTGGGGCCAGAGAGCAGAGAGAGGAGATATAAAAAGGCAGAATGCCCTTCTTTTAAACTTCAGAAAAAATCTATAGTAGCCCTGAGTATGTGGTATTTTTTCTTGTCAGTTTTGTCACATGTTCTTATGATCCCTATGACAATTTGGGTTGAAAAAAACAGTGACTTAAACCAGCTCTAGTTTTTAGTTGCACCAAGGAGGATGGAAGTTTCAGAGGGAATGAAAAGATCAGGAAAAAATGAGGCTGCTTATCACAGCGTGAATCCTATTTAGAAGGAAGGAGTAAGATAATGAGAAAGTTGAATAATTGGTTTGCTGTGTATTGGGAATGCAAGGATTAATTCTGAAACAGATGTTGGCTTATGCTATTGTCTTTAGCTATGAATGGTGCTAGGATCTGGGGGTTTGATTCTGACCCATATCTTGGTAACAGAATTCTAGCAAATCCAGCTGCCAGATGCAGTCTCATTTCCTAAAACAGTAATTAAATGGCTATTTATAGAGTTTTTTATTCTTTGGCAAAGAATATTTAGAACTCTGCACTTAATGTTTGATAGCTTTGAAAGTGTGAGATTAAAGTCCACTATTCCTGATTCTACTCTAACTTTTCACCAACTTGGGTAGCTCTAATGACTTTAATGGAGTTACTGTTGATTTAACTGAGAGCAGAGTCTGTATCACCATAATTCTCTTCTTCAGAAATGTTTTAAAATGGCTTTTTGACAAACAAAGCAGACTTTAATCTGGAAAGAAAACAGTAATGGCAATACTGATTTATCAGACCAAGTGAACAGATTCTGAAGATGAGGTGCAGTAACATTTTTTAAATAACACCTGTCAACGGGGGAAAGGTAGTTAAAAAAAACAATTCCTAGTACTTTCAATATATCATTTTTTGATTAAGTACCATAATTTGAAGAGCTTTTAAAGGATAAATACAGTAGAAATTACATTAGACTAAATATAAATGTTAATTGTAGAACAAAATACAATGAGCTAGACATTTCACTCTGGTCCACAATTATCTGGATCCAGTGGTTTAATTCTGTAAACTTACAGTGAACTCACTGAATAGGTTACTTCTGAAAAAAACTGTTTACATGGTTTTATGGAAGAGAGCAAGATGTATCCTTTAATAAGTAATGTGATTACAAAACTGTAGTTAATATAAAGCATGCTGCTGCCTCACTAACACTGTGATTGCTAAAACGCTGGCAGAATGCTTGAGTTACAAATTAATTTGCATATATTTTATTGTATTTCTAACCTGAACTGTATTAATTCTCTTCTAACGTAGTTTTTGACAATTGATCTTCTGATCTTTTTTTTTAGAGATGCTAGCGCAATTTGAATTTTTACATAGTGCTGTACAATAGAGCTGAATTTCGTATTCATGGCAGTCTCATGCAAGTTTTGAAACTCAGTAGGCATCATAAATATGCACTCATAGGTCTGCATCACTATAAAATTTATGCCAATTGATGCCTACTAATGTGGTTTCCTGTTGTGAGTCTTATAGGGCTGCCAAAATGAGGATGCATTGGTTTGATTATTTTTTAGGCATAAATAAATTGCTTATATGGCCATCTATTTGCATTGAAGGTTGTATACAGGCAGTCCTTGGCCTTACGACACAATCGGTTCCTGCAAACCACATCTTAAGTCAAAACATTGTAACTTGGAACTGATTTTCCCACAGGAAACAATGTTGTAAGTGTGGGGATTGATTCCTGAACCAAGGCCTGATACCCTATTTTCACCAAAATAACCCAGACTTTTGTACTCATCAATTATAGATGAATAATATAGCTACATTAATGTATTTGTATTGTAAATAGCAACCATATTGATTAGGAAGGACTTCTTTGAGGTGACTTTGCTGGACTTTTTGAAGAGCTCTTGGTTGGACTTTTGAAGGGTTCTTGGCTGGAGTCTTATCCGGAGTCTTGGCTGCAGGTTTTTCTGGAGTCTAGTCTGCTTTCTTAAAGAAGGAGGTTTGGGCAGATGTTCTCTAGGGAGATGGGTGACGTAGCAAACCTGTTCGCTGGTGTGGCATGGCATCGGATCAAATGTTGTAGAGTCAGAACTGATGTCAGAAACTTTCATAGTTTCATAGTTAGTAGGGTCGGAAGGGACCTGAACAGGTCATCAAGTCTGACCCCCCTGCCATGGGCAGGAAAGGATGCTGACCCCCCTGCCATGGGCAGGAAATGACCCTGGCTAGGTGATTGTCTAGCCTTCTTTTGAAGCCCGCCAGGGTAGGAGCAAGCACCACCTCTCTTGGAAGTTGGTTTCAGATTCTAGCCACCCTGACTGTGAAGTAGTGCTTCCTGATGTCTAGCCTGAACCTACTGTCATTCAACTTATGGCTGTTATTCTTAGTTACTCCTGGTAGTGCTCGGGGGAACAGGGTCTCTCCCTTTCCCTGCTGGTCTCCCTTGCTTAGTTTACAGGCAGCCACGAAATCCCCTCTCAGCCTTCTCTTGTGGAGGCTGAACAGGTTCAGGTCCCGTAGCCTCTCTTTGTAGGGTCTGCCCTGCTGCCCCCTGACCATGTGAGTGGTACTCCTCTGGACCTTGAAACAGGGTGTCAATTTATAAATGTAAGTGCGAAATGTTGTAACTCAGAATGTTGTAAGTTGAGTTATTTTTAAACACATATTTATCTACTGATTTAGCCTATTAAGTATAATTCAAAACATTTATGTATAAAATTTTTAGAGGATTTTAAAAAATTAATTTTACAGCCTGACTATTTTATTCCTAAAATAACTGTGTTTTGTCATCTGGTTCAGTATCTCAGATGAAATGGGCTACTGGCTACCTTCTGATTTTTTGTTTGTTTTTAACTAGAGATGAGTCCAAACTGAAACATCTTCCTCTCCTGGATTCTGGAGAAGATTGGATCCAGATCCAGTTTGGGACTGGAATTTCACAAGTAAGATCTATTCTGCTAACACATTTAACTGGAATTTCAAATCCAAAAGCATGGTTTGAAGAAGTTTGGGTTCAGGGGCTCACACTCCAGTTTCCATGACTTAAGCACACCTGTAGTTGCAACTAATGTGATCCATCCACAAAAAATATCTTGAGGTTAATGCATGGAAAAATCTAAAAAATTAATGCAGAAAAGGACTCCAAAATGAGCACCAAGGTTAGGGACAGAAATTACACATAAACCACTATAAGTGATTGGCAGTTGATCTAAACCTGTAACAGAATTGAAGTTCAGTGCATATAGACCAATTTCAAAGTGGCAGAGCCTGGTTTAAGATAGATCTGAATCAATGTAATATCAGATTTAACCAGTTTAAGTTAGACCAGTCTATCAAACTTCTGTTCTAGGTCCACTCCTGATTCAACTTGGGTCACAGTCCCCTGGCATCCCAGGATGGTTTGCAGCACCCAGCTAACTCCTGCCTCACAGGGCTGGCAGGCTAGCCTTTATCAGTGCTCCCTTGCTCCAGCAGAGGTGGGCTAGTCCTGCCCCCCGTCACAGAGCTGAGGAAACATAGCCTCTTCTCCCCATCTTATGTCCTGCCTGCATCTGTCAGCCCAGCAAGGCAGCGGGAAGTTGGGCAGGGGAACAGAACCCAACCTGCCCTCAAGCTTGGGTCTGCCCAACTGAGTTTCCCTTGCCCCAGCCTAGCTGCTCAGCTGTGCTGTCTGCAAGTCTCTTCCTCTGACCTGCAAGGGGGAAAGGAGCCCTCCACCCCAGCCCCAGTCTCCCTGGGTGGGGTTTGCCCAGCTGTAGGGAGCCCTGCGCCATGAGAGACCAGGCCAGCTGCTCAGCTCCACCCCCTGCCAGGGTGGGGAAGGCCCACCATGGCACAGGGCTCCCCTGATCTGGGCAGACCCAAGCTCAGAGGGGTTGCGACGAGGGTGAGGGGCTCTTTCCCCACTCCCACCATGTGTCAAAGGCAGAGACTCACGGGGGCATGGCTGGCTGGGGGGGTGGGGGGTGGTAGGAACCACTGCAGTGCATGGCTCCCCACAGCCTGGGCATCTGCCTGCCTTCCCCGGCTGAACAGTGAACACGCGTTCCATTTGTTGTCAGTCCAATCTATGCAGCTTAGAGAAACCTGCAGTGATTGGATTGATTCCTCCTTGGGCATTTCGACTGTCTGTACTTAGCCCAAACCTGGCCGTTTCAGTCAATATTAGAATTGCTGTGAAAGGTGTTGGTTGGGACACTGGCTATATCAGCTGTGCTTAAAAATGTAGAGATCCAGTAGAGGAGTTTTGTGGAATAGTAAAGTTCATCTTGACATAAGTCAAATAATGCAACATGAAGTAGCTAGTTAAATCTGCCTCGCTGAAAAGAGAGGTATGGTTGCTCAGTGTTTATGTTTTAAATTTAAAAACAAATTCTCACAAGGAACAGTAAATAAGTAACATAGATATATCTCCAGTGGCCCTGAGCAGCAATAAGGTACCATTCTTACAGAAAGGATTATTCACTTCAGAACAACGGTTTAATAAAAAAGTACGTAAACCCATAAACCCACTCAAACTTTGAGAATTTCAAAGTTTGACTCAAATGTTGTTGGGCTATTGTGGTTCTCCTTAAAAAGGTACTTTTAAACAGAGAAGAGGAAAGCAGAGAGGTTCCACTGGACAATGGAGCAGAAGCTAGATAGAGGGACAAAAAATGCAGTGTGATTTCTGTTGTATCTGAAGTAGCACTGTCTTTTTTTCACCATGAAGCATACCTTACTTCATGAACAGTTCCAATAGAAACTGTATGGAGTTTAAGTGTTTTTAGTAGGGCTGTCAAACAATTTGAAAATTTGATCGTGATTAGTTGTGATTAAAAAAAATAGTAACAATTAATCATGATTTTAATTGCACAGCTAAAAACTCAAAACTATGTAAGGTTATGGTACTTTGTATGGTTGGTGGTGTGTGGGTGGGAATTTCTGAAGGTATGGGGGGCTGCGGGTGTGTGGGGGGGCTTGGAGCCCAGGGAGGGGGGATCCCCGCATGCCCTGACAAGATATGGAGTACTGTGGGTCCAGAAAGAGGAGTAGCAGCAGGGCTGGGGGGGGGCTGTGACTTGGGAGTGAGGGGCAGACAGAGACACACACGCAGACAGGCGCACACACACACAGGTACAGACACACAAACAGTGCTCTACAGGTAAGTCTGTGGAGGGAAGGGGCATGGGGGAGGAAAAGAGGAGGGGGGCAGATTGAGGCTCCCACAGTGAGGGATGGAGTGGGGAAGGGACAGGCGCTGGGGTGAATGGGACCCCAGGGCCAGGGTGGCTCATGCAACAGAGCCACGGGGAGCTCATCCGTGGGAACAGGGAAGGGACATAGCTCCCTGCTGCTGCAGGAGGCATGGAGGGCATGTGCCCCCCAGATTTGTGCTCAGTGCAGAGGAGGGCTGTCCACTGCAGGCTGGAGGTCTACATCCTACTGTTTTTGCCCATGGGCATATTTCTGATTTCCCAGAACAGCTATAGGTCAGGCATTATCCTATGAATTCTCCAGCCCTCCTCTTGAAACTCTGTTCCAAAGGAATACATTGGTATGTTTTTTTAACTAAGTCAACCTTGTGAAAAATAGGGGTTTAAATAAGAGGAAGTAGGTCCTTTAGTAAAAGTGTGATTCAAACATTTAAAGAATCTTCCCTGTCATTCATATATATATATATATATATATATATATATATATACACACATACACACACACACACACACATTTCTTTTTTCCAAACTATCAAATTTTACTGAAGGTAATAACATTGACCAACATAAAAGAAAGCATTTAAAAAGTAATTAATCCAAGAGAAAACAAGGCCAAATCTGGGCATAACTTGCTTATTCATTCCAGTGGGATACCTTCCCTGTTTAGTAACTCTTTGTGGAGTTGGAACACTGTGGGCCAGCTGCCTTTGACCAGTGCTAAATTACTGAAGTTACCCTGGTAGCTTAAGCTTACCCTACCCAGAGCTCTACCCTGGGGGGTTCCCCAGATTACATCATATGTATTTGGGGGGTAGATTAGGGATATAAATATAACTTCAAAAATTATCCATTTAACCTCCTCTAATTATACTGGTTAAATCATTAACCAATAACATATACATAGTCCGGCGGGGGGGTGGAGCCCTGGGCTGGGACCTGCCCCACCCTATTCTAATGTGGGGGAGGGGCCACAGCCACCTGCCTCAGGGTGGGGAGCTGGGCCCTGTGCACAGATCTGTTTGGACACAGCTGCTGCTGGGAGCTACTCCCTGGGGCTTTTGATGTGGGGACAGGGTGGAAGAAGGTGGCAGCAAGCCCCACCAAACGATACAACCCATGGGAAGCCATGGATGGCAGCAGCCAGCAAGGGGCTTTCCCCAGCTCACTGAAGCCACCGGTACGCTGGGAGAGAGGGAACAGACTAGTTATGGATACTAATCCCCCCTTCCCCTTCCCAGTCCCCACTTCTCCCTCCCTCTTGCCCTGCTACCTTCCAGTTCCTGCTGGGGCACCGCACGGCTTCCCTTCCCCTGCCTTTTCTGCTGGACTGTGCTTTGCCCCACACTAAATGATAACCAGTAACCTATAACCAGTTAACATTGGGCTTAGTTATTTAACCCTAGGCTAGACACAAATTCAAATCAGGGTTCTGTAGTCTTGTCTTCCAAGTCTGTACTCAGAATAGATGGTACTTGCACAGGTCTTGGAAAATTAACATATTTTGAAGCCTATATGGTGGTTATATAGTAAAGAGAAATGTTTTTCTATAGAGAGAAATCAGCATTTGGAAGTTCCCCTACCTTAGCAAAGTTCACCTTGCAGGGATGGAAAAAAGGGCAAATCATTTGGTTACCAGTGACTTGCCTATGTGGATATTATTGGCTGATAAACCCTGGTGATGCTTACAAATGTGTAATATGGTACAGTTGATCACCAGATTTGAAGTCAGGACTGAATTTGGTCCAATATCACCTTTATATAAACTTTATTTTTCTTTACTCTGGAGCACTGATCAGGAATCACCTACTCAAATCAGGTAGATGATCCTACACAATGGGTGCATCTATACAAGACACTAACTGCACAGTAGCCTAATAACACTGTGCAGTAGCATGCCAGGCAAAAACCATGTTAACATGATACTGCACAGTAGTATTAAGCTACTGAGCAGTAAGTGTCACTAAAAACCCATGCGCTGGTGCTACTGTGCAGTAGTGTAAGTTACTGTGCATTGATTTAGTACTTGATTATCCAAGTACTAAACTTAATGCACAGTAACTACAGCAGATTAGTGAACATGTAGACATGCCCAATTAGTACTTTTGATTGCTAGGAGACAGTTGGATTTCACACCTTCTGTTTCTGTTTTTATAGTTAACTGTCAAACAATCATATAAGCTAATCATAGAGAAGACTTATAATATCCTTTTCTCTAATGCCTTTCTAATGTCAGAATTTTGCTACAAGTATGTATGTTACCAATGTTCTGAAGTATCTTTATTCAAATATTACATTTTTTATATACTCTTGAAGAAACAGTTTAGAAACCAAGTAGTTAGAAACATAACTTTTAAATAAAATGATCCTTTTGCATCAAGCCTAAGAAATAAATGTATGCAGTGTATTTCATTCCCAAGGATTACAAACAAAATGTTTTATAACGTGAAACTACATATACAGAGAAATCCCTCCAGGTAGCAGATGGGAGTGAGCAGCTGTTTACAGTACACAATAGCACCTGTATAACAGACCAGAAGAGGGAGTAAAAAAAATATTGCTTCCAGTTAGAACTGCAGAGGGAATTAATGGGTAAAACATGTATTTTCTTAATTTGGGATATGGGCAGAACAATGAAGTTAAAATTCATTTCAGTGAAACAAAATGTAATTAAGTTGCCATGTTCTTGGAGTATATCTAGGCAGCACTGTGCAGTGCTGTGTAAAGATATTCAAGATAATAGAAGCACC